CTGAGGCATCCAACACACGTGGCTTTGAGGGGTGGGAAGGCTTAAACTGGAAGTGTCTCCTAAGCTGGGGTGCACTGGGAGTTTTAGAGCCTTATGGCTCAATAGCACTGCAATGGTTTCCCATGCCAATGGCAAAGGTTGTGTCCCCAAGACAGGTGGAATCCATGCTGAATTTGGAGGGAAAGGGACACAGAATCCTTCCAGGAAAAGGGATAAGAATTTGTATTATGAGCACGAGGCAGAGTTGGCCCATTCCCATTCCTTCCCTGCGTCCCTGGCCCTGGTGAGGTGCCAGCTCTTGTTACATCAGCCCTTCATCTCCCTCCCCAAGCCACATATGCTCTGTGCAGTGCTGTCTCTCCCATCCCTGACAAGTGCTCAGGGAAGTGTTTGCAGAAGCTGCTGTTTGTCTGAGGGAGCTGCTCCTTCCTCCTCTGTCATTTTACCGCTCGTTCCCGACGCACGGGGTGGGCCCAGATGGATTCCTGCTTTCCATGCCACACGTGTGCGCTGAGGAGACTCACAAAATTATACCCTGGCTAACCAAATCAGCCACATGTCAGCAACATAAGCCTTGAAAGTCATTGCAGCTCCAGTTTCTAGAAGCTGATGTCTCATTACAGAACGACTCGCGCCTGAGTCTGGCCTGACAGAGACGTGACAAATTACTCGGGGATTTTCTTTAAATGCTGCTGGGCTATTGACATGTTTCCTCCAAACCCATCCTGTCATGCCAGATCATAAATTGTTGCAGTAGAAGTTATTCCTCTGCAGCTCTAAGATTGATCATTATTCAGTCATACCAACAGGTTTTTAATCTGTTTATTTGGCTGCACCATCTTCCTTGGCTGGCTGGAAATAGGATTCCCAAGCAGGCAGATATCTCTTGGAGAGATTTCACTTTGCATATTTCCTCGCTCACCACCTTTGAAAAAGTCATTTTCTTCTAAACACTCCGCTGCCAAGCTTAGCATTTTCTATCCTGCCAAAACCAAAATTGCTGATCGTGTCTGAATATGGCAAAAGAGGGAAAAGAGTTATTACCAGGTGGCCTAATGTGCCTTTCCCCTCAGTGTAGTTGCTGTTCTGTCCTTGCACACAGGGCTAAGGGTAAGTACAGGACACTGCCTATTCAGTGCCTGGCATAATTTGGCTGGAATTTTTTATCATTAACATGAAGAAAGGGCAAAGCCAGTTGACACACGAGTTCATTACAAGGGATTTATTTCTGTATATACATTTAGGAAGAGTCAGCCCTAAGTGCTGTTGCCTCATTAAACTCAAGAACTCGGATACCGTTATCGCTCTCCCAGATTTAATAGGCATGTTTGTTCCAAAGGGTTGTTTCCCTGTAATCTCCTGCATCACATGCAGACACCTGACAGATGCTCAGCAGGTTTCTGTGGCCGCTGAGGGCTGAAGGAGAAGGGCTGAGGTGTGAGGGTGCTGGGCTGCTGCTCCAGGAGGTTTTCCATGGGCTGAGTGCTTGGAAAGGGCCGCTGTGAAATCAGCAGTTTTTGTTCTCTGCCCACCGACGGTTTGCTCCTGTCGTCACACCGCGAGCTCTGCCCCCGGGAGAGGGGTGAGGAGGACACCGCTAACAAGGGGCTGGTGGTTGTATCCTCAGTGTGTGCCACGCTGGGAGACAAAGGGGCACTGTCTGCCCTCATGATTCTCATTTGGGAATTAATGAACAAGTGCAGGGCACGGATGTGAGGGCAATGAAACCTCCTGGGCTGGGCGAGGAGTGCTTGCCCACTGCTGCCTAATGATCGAGCTTCAGATTTGAGGGAGTCTTTGTCGCTGTGCAAACTGGTTTTGGGGAAGGGATAGATGTTCTCAAGGAGGCTTCGTGACCTGTGTTAGAGAAATACATTTTTTTTTTCTTAACTCATTTCGTGAAATCCTGCAGATTAATGAGGCTTTTTGATTGTCTGTTGAGCTGCTGTGTCCCCACAGGGCGGTTGTTTTCATTAACCAACTTGGGTTTACTTCTCTACAATGCAGATTTATGTAAAAAAGTTACTAATAACCCCAGAGCACAAAATAACAGGGAAAGTAATTCTCTCCAGGTAATTAAAAATCAAGCCTTTCCCACAAAACAAGATACTCTGTAACCTGTGAACCCAAAAGCCTGTTTTGGTTTCCTACTGCCTTGCATTCCCAATCAGTGCACTGGGCAGAGCTGGGGCATGTTGTGCCTTCCCCAGCAGGCAGGAGATAATCCCAGGTTACTCCCAGTCTGTGTTATGCCCAGGCTGGCTGAGTTGCCAGTAAATACATTCAGATTTTCCACTCAACTGCTCTCAAACAGAATTTGCAATGTCCTTTTTCTCAGTGGAGGCGCTAGTTTGGGTTTCTTCCCTTTGAAATCTCCCTGTTTGCCAATGATGGAGGGGTTGGGATAGATGGGACAAGTCTAATGAGCTTAACTTCCTCAACAAGCTGTCCCAGAAAATAGCCTTTTGGGTTTTTTCCCTTTTTCAAGGGGGCCATGCAGCTTCCTTGGGAGGAGCTGGAGGAAACCCAGGGGCAACTTTTCGGGTGTAGAGTTTAGACAGCTGAGTATTTTTCAGTAAAACTCAGAAAGCCCAGCCTGGCATTGAATAAGTGATAATTTCACCCTGATGTTCTTGAGATGATAATTTTTAACCCAGCATTTTGGGAAGTAGTGCCTTTACCAAAGATTTTTATATTTTAGCCTTGTCAAAGCACTAGTAGAACACTAAACCAGTGATATTCAGAAACCACTGGCAAAACTTTTTGCTTGTTACTTGATTTGCAATGAAAAACAGCTCTTGATGCCACTCATTATTGAATTTTGGCTTTAATCAAAGGGCTTGAATACAAACATTTGTCTCCCTCAGAACTGCTGATGCTTTTGACATACTTTTTTGAAGTTCCCATCACGAGCTGGAGCCTTTGGCCTCCTGGGGGTTGCTGGCAATGCCCTGACCTCAAACTTGATTTTTAATTCTTGTAGCAAGTATTAAAGATCAGTGAGAAAAGGTTTCTTGGTATCAGGATTAACTTGAGCTTTGGTTTCTCTTCACACTGTTTTCTGTTCAAAGTCATTCTCACACTTGCAAGACAAGTGGCCTGTCATTTAGGGTTGTGGCTGATGGAAAGGCGCCCCACTGGATCCCACAGGAGTTAGCAGGTCCAGATGCTGGGGATGGGAGGATGATTGTGCCACCAGGCACCAAATGAATGTGGTGCCATCATTTGGTGAGAAACACCTCAAGAAAAGGATCATGTGTTAGAGGAATTGGATTTAATAGGGATTTTTTTCTCTACGTGTGTGAAAGTGTAAGAGAGTGTTTTACTGCAGAGTGGTAGAACTGAGATTTTCAGTTATAAAATATGTATTTAATACCACTGATTTGTCTTCTTAATGTACTTTAAGTGTCCTTTACAGATCATATACATATATTTATATGTAGAAAGAATAAATATTGCATTCTATCCTTCTGTGTATTCAGGTAGTCAGCTCTGACATCCAAAGCACAAGTTAGCACAGGACTAATGAGGTTTTAATCCCTGCTCCATCACTGTGTGTACATTTAGGTATATTATTTTGCTTGTTAATCTCTTCAGACTTCCAGGACTAGCCATCATAGCTCATTTCATTGACAAGTCATTGAAAAATGAGGAATTAGCTTAATTAGTGGTTATGAGTTGTTTAATTTTTGACTGTTTCTGTGCAGGTGGTTGTCCAGTTCCCTGCTGATTTGTCCAAATTAGTGACCTGGATGCATGAGATATTATTGACTTGTTTTGCAGCCAGACATGAGAGCAAATCTCTTTTCTCCCTCTTTCCTCGCATTTCGATGAATCATCAGATTTCTCTGACTCAGTTGGGTGGGTGTTTTTTTTTTTTTTAAGTCTGCCACTTTCACCCATCTGCAACCCATTCCTCTTTGGAAAGAGGGATAAAAATACTTGCAGGCATTTTCTCCACAGGCAGCAGTTTGGTGACGCAGCAAAGGCAGGTGCCCATTGACACTCACCAGGGAATTCAGAATAACCGAAAATAATTTGCTTTTTGAGAGTGCCACTGAGAAAGAAAAGGTGAATTGGTAGAGGGTCTTCTGATGAACCCTGAGATCCCTCTGAAAGCAACCTGGTGGTCCCTGAAACACGGATTTGCAGCCTGGGTACATTCAGGGTGGAAAAATGGAAGTGTGGAAGGGTTTTGTGTTGATCTAAGAGAAATTTTATTGGTGGCCATCACAGCCTGGGATGGACTTGCTGGAAATGACAGTAGTTGAGGATTTTTAATTGCTTACACAAAGCTTCATGGTACTTTCAGTAATTTGGCTATACAAAATGTATTGATAGGCCAACTGCCCCCATTTGAAGCTGATCTTAAGAGAAACACTCCCAGAAGTGAGTACCAAAGGAGGTGAAAGGATGCTGGAAACTGAAAGAAAACACCAAAACCAAACAACAAAAAAATAAAACCAAAACCCAAAAAACCCCAAACAAAACAAAACAAACAAATAACCAATCAAAAAAAAGAAAAAAAGGCATTGGAATACCTTGAGATTGCTCTGGCAGTCAGAGACAGAAATGAGTTGAGTTCAGGAACTCATTTTAAAACTATTTAAGATATCATTTTCTTGGCTGTAATGAAAGATAGAGTTTAAATATTTCTTAGCCAAGTTCAACTGACTTCTTTTAAAAGAGGAGTTCATAGAAATAGGGCAGAAGGACAGACTCAGATATTTTAAGATCAGGCTTTGGAAGTACCAAATGCAGGAAAATATAGTGCTAAATGCTTTTCCCTTGATAAATGTGGTTCTGCCACCATATGATCCCCATTTCCAGCTCGGGGATGCATCACCCTTTGCAAATTGCAAAACGAAGTATTAAGAAATTCGCCCTGAAAATGTGCCAGCAAAGTTCCTTAAAAGGCTCCCAGGAAAGATGACTCACTGCTTAAATGGCCACTCGCTGCATCTGCAGAGCATTTCAGGTGAAATCCTCTGGAGCAGTCATGATTCCTCGTGGAAGCTCCTCCGGGGTGCAGAGGCAGCGCTGCAGCCACAGCCCCTGGACAAGGTCCTGGTGAGGAGGGAGGGACATCCAGGAGAAGGACAAGGGGGCAGGAGAGGCACCTAAGCCCCCCTGAGCAGTGAGAGGAGGAGGAGGAGCACCCTGAAGAAGGTCTGTAATTTCTGAGCTGATGGAAAGCAGGCTGTGGATGTCAAATGGCTGATTGATGTGTCACCAGAAAGGGACAGATGTCCAACATTGCCTTGCTGTTCGTGCTGAGCTGGGGTGTCGTGGTGTGTCAGACCACTCTGGGAAGTGTTTGTGATGTGTTGATGCCTGGACTGAGTTGGTATTTTGTATCTGTGTCTGTGTCTCCGTCTCCTGTTGGTCTCTCTGCAGTGTTGTATCACAGAACCTTTTTTCTCGGTATAAAATCAGGATTTTTTTATCCTATATAGTCAGTATTTCTGAATTCCTGTTTTAGCCCACAGGTTTTTGGGGGGTTTTGTTGTTGTTGCTGTTGTGTTTTGTTTTGTTTTTCTTTTCCTTTTATGTCTCTCAACAAAAGCTGCTTTCTCAGTCTCTCAGCTGTGTCTGATGTCCCCTCATATCTCCCCAGTGGGGCAGAGCTGAAGTGACAAACCTCGAGCTGATGAAGAGCTGAGACATCTGAGTTTATTCTCAAGTGACTGGTGCTTTTTGCTTTTCTTCCCATCTAAAATAACCTTTACTGGCACAATTCCTTTTAACATTTCTGTTTCCCTGGGCCATAGAGGAATTTGAATTTTTTTTACCAGTTGTTTGCTGACTAAATATACCAGATTTTCCTTACAAACTGTACTTCTGATGCATTTCAGTGCTGAAGAACCTAAATTCAGGCTCTCTGTAGGAATCTTTCTGCAAACACTGATTTCCTCTGCTGAAAAGCAGATTCTCTTTAGCACTGGTTAGGTGTTTAAAGTATCCTACCACAACCATTTGCAACCTTGGACATTCCCAGCTGGCACGAGTGGGAAAAGTCACCAGGACTGTGCAGGCGCTCCCGGCTAATGAGCTCTGTGTTTGGCTGCTGTGGGATGTGCCAGGTTTTGCCTGGCAGCTTTTTATTTTGGCTCCTTCTGAGTGGAAGCAGCTTCTTTCTGTCTTTTGAATAAATGGGGACAGCTGCACGTCGAGGCAGTGCCCTTCCAGTTTTTGGAAGATTTATCAAAACTGTGCTGTAGTCTCTTGCAATTCCTTATGGAGGAGGGATCCAAACTCTGCTGAAGCCACCAGGAATCTCTTCCTAACTCTCATGTCACCTTAGTGGTAATTCTGCCTTTGGTTCTGTGTGGACAGTAAGTAATTGTCATTTATCTTTTTAGATAGAGGTGCTTGTGGAGATACAAATTCCTGATTTTCATCAGGGACTGGAGGGACAGGACAAGGGGAATGGCTTCAAATGGAGGGAGAGTAGATTTAGATGGGATAGTAGGAAAAAATTCCCTGTGGGGGTGGTGTTGCCAGGTTGCCCAGAGAAGCTGTGGCTGCCCCTGGATTCCTGGAAGTATCCAAGGCCAGGTTGGACGGGGCTTGGAGCAACCTGGGCTGGTGGAAGGTGTCCCTGCCCATGGCAGGGGGTGGAACGGGATGGGCTTTAAGGTCCCTTCCAACCCAAACCATTCTGGGATTCTGTACCAAAATTAATAGGTCTCTGTCCTAGATCATTGTCATGAAAGGTCAGAATAAATGGACTTAAATAAAAGATACATGTTTTATTTGTATTAATGGGGAAATCTCATTTTAAGAAGTTTATGGGAAAAAGGTGGAGAGAAGAATGGAAGGATGAGGATGGAAAGTAATTCATTGCTTAATGTTGGTTGAAATTGGAGAGGGCAGAAAAATTCAGCTAAAAAAAAAAAAAGAGTAAGGTAATTTTCTCATAAGTATTAAAATAGGAATCCAGGTTGACATACCATCCTCTAAATCCCAACTTTCTTCTTCCCTAGCATGTTCTGTGGCAGCCAGGACATAAAAAGTTCTCATTTTATCAGATCTGAGGCAGAGGGACAAAATCCTTGAGTACATCCCAGCACATTTTTGGGTGAAAATGTGCTGGGGAAAATTACCCATGTTGCAGTGAGTGTCAGTACATGTTACTTATGTATGAAATAGTGTGGGAGCTGGTGAAAGTTTTCTTTTTATCTGTTTTTGTGTGATTGAACAGAAGAAATGTGATTTATTTTATGAAGTTTCTGTGGAGGCCTTATCTGCCCTGAGCTTGGGAAAGAAGGGCAATATTCTATTTACCAATCAGAGACTCAAATTTAATTTTAGATATTGATGATTTGCTCTGCCAAAATGTTTTCTTTCCCTGTCTGGCTCCACCCCAAGTGCAGGTCTTTGTGTGGAGCAGGTCTGTGTGTGTCCCACAGGTGTTTGCAGAGCTGAACCAGCATTTTCCTCCCTGTGCTACAGGCAGAGCAGTTTGGCCTCAGGTCAATCCTTTCTCTTGGAAAAGCCATCAATAACCCCTCAGGGCTGGGATCTCCAGGTGGAACAGAGATGTTTGCTGGGAAAATTGGACTAAATTTTCATGTCTGTGTCAGCTGAAAGAAAATTAGCCAGGAAAAATAGTTCTGTTCTGTAAGGCTGGGGAAAACAAACAACCTGCAGAACAGAGAAACAGTTTGTTTCTTTCTTTTTTTGTTTGTTTCTTTTTTTGTTTGTTTTTTGTTGTTTCCTTGTTGTTTGTGTTTTTGTGTTTTGTTCCTTTTGTTATCTTTTCGCCTTTTTTGTGTCCTTTCTGTATCCTCTAACTTTTTGTATTTCTGCATCTTTTTGTATCTTGATATTTTTGTATATTTCTATGCTTTTTTTATCCTTTCTACATCCTTATGGTATGCTTTAGGTATATTTAGTATCTTCTTTTTGAGGTATTTTTGCTATCTTTTGAAATCTTCTTTAGTCTCACTTGTATCTTTTTTGTGCCTTTTTTTGAACTTTTTTTTTATCTTTCCTGTATCCTTTTTTTTTTTAATCTCGTTTCTTCTTTGTTTCTTTTCTCTCTCGTGTGTTTGGTGTTTCCTTTTTGCCTCTTTTTGTTTTCTTTTTCTTTTGTTTCTTTTTTTTTTTTGTGAATTTCTTTTTACTCCCCTTTTTCCTTTAAATGCAAAGTCACAGATTTTCTAAATCTGTAAAACACACACCTGAATTCTCAATTCCTTTACTTTTCTGGTTTGACAGCTGCATTTTTGCCACTCCATGTTATTGGGGAGTGTTTATTCTTCCCCCTCTCTCCCAGCTGGAGCTTTGCTCTGCTTCCCAGGCCACCTTGGGCACTTGTGGCTGTGTCTTTCTGGGGTGGCTCTGGCCCTGCAGCAGCTCCAGAGCACCTCTGCCTTATAATTACTTTACATTTCTTCGTGGCTCCTCTTCAGGCAGGGGAATTTCACAACTTAACACAAGTAATACTAATTATTTGGGATCTGTCACTGCAGGACTGCTGATGAATTATGCAGACCCTGCTCTGCTGCTGGATGCAGTTGTTGGTTTTTTTTTTATTCTCCCTTTTTCCCCCTCATCATCTGCCTTGAAGTATTGTGACATTGGGTGACACAGATAAACCTGAGTTCTGTAATTAAGTTGTATTTTAATGATCCTGGAAAATATTCAATTTTTGCACGTCCTCATGGTTTAGAAGTGGCTTAATGAGTCTTCCAGCTTTCCTGCCTGCTCAGTACTCCGCTGACATTTCTCCATAGGAATAGCAGGATTCAAAAGGATAAAACTTCTGAATGCCCCACTCTGGCATATTTAGGTTTTCATATTAATGAGGGTAATTTTGTGCATTAGATCAATGTATTTTTCCCATTTATCAGTGCAAGGCCCATTGCTAAGCAAACACCTCCAGTGGGAAGGGAATTTTAGTGACTCTGAATTTGACTTTTCTAATAGAATTCACCTTATTTTCCATGAGCGTCGGTGTGATTGGGATTTTTTTGCACAAATGCTTCCAGAAAACAAGCTTTAAGCCTCCTTGCACAGGCTTTTGCAGTTGCCAAAACTGATATTTGGGGAAAGGAGTGACTGAAATCACGGGTTCTTCATTCCCTCGCTGTGCACTCTGCCCAGAATCAGTGGAATACATACAGGAAAAGACTGCTTAGGTGGGATCTTCTCATTTTTCCCACACTATTCCAGCAGAGCTGCTGGCTGCCTTGCTAAAGAAAAGTCCCTTCTGTGTAGTGGGTGAGGAACTTGTGAATATTCAGCTCCTCTGGCTGAGATCTGAGACCTCTGTCCATAACGTGTCCAAAGGGATAATTTTAGACTGAATTTGATCCCCTTCAGGCACAGAAACTTACAAATTTAACAGTCCATTTTTTTCCCTCCCACCCCCTCCCTCCTTTTTCTCTCCCCTGTGGCTGTTTAATATTAAAATGCTGCATCTTTTGGTAGGAAAATCAGCAGGGAAACTCCTGCTGCAGAGGAGGGATGGATGTTAATTATCAGCAGTGCAGGATTCCCAAGCCCCTCACAGGAGCATCACCTTTGAAGGGACTGAGGCTCTTGAAGGGTTTTGGTCCAAGTGGAAAAGAGAGCCCAGATTTTTCTCTTGGCAGCATAGAAAGCTTATCCTGATATTCAGAGTTTATTCCTGTAAAGGGAGGACTTGCTGATGTCCAGCTGTTTCCCAGAAAGGGAAGTTTGAAGGATGCTCCTGACTTGGAGATAAATCTGATTTTATATATATATATATATGTATATAAATCCAGCTATATCAGAGTTTTTGGGAGTAGGAATGGCACATTTCCAACCATAGTTGTCTCTCTCAATTGCAGTTGGAAGAGCTGTGGAAAAGGATCAGGAAAAAAATTGGCTTTTTGATGGTTCTTCCTATAGAAGAGTCCTTTGAAATTCAGCAACTCCAGTTCCTGAAGTTGAGAGTAATTCAGCAGTGATGTCTGCTACAGTAAAAACCAAGCTGGTGTTTCCAGAGAATAAATGAACTCCAGACATATTTATGAACTGTGTGGCTTGGATTCAAAGATCTTCAAATGGGAAAGAAAGTGTCCAGTTTTCCCAGCAGAAACATTTATGGTGGGAAGAAATAGCTTGGAAAATTTCATTTTTTAGCCTAATGGCCAAAGAGAAAAATCACTTCTAGATGGATCAGATGGACTGTGTGT